AACTGTGATGCAGCCGAGTATCAACCTCAACAATCTCCAAGTCTCCAATCAGGTAAGTACCACAGTCTCGTATCACCGAAATCCAACTCTGATCTATGTCCAACTGGATAGTCTCCAATCTGAAGAAGAAGAAGAAGAAGAAGAAGAAGAAGAAGAAGAAGAAGAAGGAGGAAGAGGAGAGAGAGAGAGAGGGGACTGGCGAGGGAGAGGAGGAGAGACCCTCCAAGCTCCCGGTACCTCAGGCGGCAATGGCCGCCGTGCTGGCTCAGTCGCCCTGCTGCTGCTCCGCTCGCTGCTGCGCTAAGCTGCGCTATGTTGCGCTCCTGCTTCAGCCCCTGCGCTAAGTTTAGCGCATCAAAACAGTACGCTGGTACTGACCATGCCATGCTGGTAGAGTTCCGGTAGGCCGATCCCTCAACTGAGGCGGGTACCGGTACTTATACCGGTAGGCAATGGTCTGGCCTCAATGCTGCGAGGCCAGGCCAGACCCTGGACCGTCCAGATGGACGGTTCAGCCTCAATCGGCGGGCGGCATCTTCAAGAGCGCCGCCAGGCCCAAAYGAAGTGTCGTTTGGGCCTACCCGATSGGKGCTGGTYCAAAATCAGGCCTTTAGGGCCTGTAACCCCAAAAGGTCGGGCCTTTAGGCCCTGGTGTGTCCCTCCGGCCCTAAGTCGGGTCCGGTAGGACCCGTGTGAGTCGAAGATGTAACAGTAGGGGTGGAGGAAGGGCAGAGAGGCAAACAATGCACAGACAGTCCCTTTCTCCCCTGACCTCAAAATTTGACACTAATAAAAAAAAAGAGAAAAGAAAAAAAATTCCACCCCCCCTCGAAAATTTCGAATTTTGAGAAATTAAATAAAATTTAATCTGAAAAATACGAATTAAAAAGAAATAATTTTGGCAAAAGATTAAATGTTTAATTAAACAGTATTTAAATTTGCAATAACTAATTTCGCAAAAGTGAAATATTTAATTAAAGAATATTAAATTTTGCACGAATAAAAATGAATAAAGTTTAAGCAAGTTTAAACATTTAAACATAACTTTTGGAAGGAACATGAATATGGACGAAGCACATAAATCCAGATTGCAAAATCACACTCAAGTCCATGTAGTCAAAGCCAAAGCAGATATCACAATGGAACCGAGTAACCATCCATTTGAGAATGATACAGAAGAATCGTGAGTCAGTGTCCAAGCCCAACAGGGCAACACCAACAGCATAACCCAATGTAACTCTCTCTTGTGAATGGCGCCAGGCGCCCTATCTACCCTACAGCCTAGCCTACAACTACAGCAATGAAAGCAACCAGACAACTTGACTACCAGCGAGTGATGAGGTCAACACCAATGCCGACCTCCACCTCCACCAGGTACGTGTCCTCTTCACCCACACTCTCCCTTGTTACCCACATAGCGCCCTTCACCTCCGAAGGACCACCTTCGCCCTCACCTCCCCTACGCCCTCTGCAGCCCGGCTATGGCCGCCAAGCGCCCAGTGCACAGGCAGCGCCCTACCGCCTAGCGCATGCCTGCCTTGCACTCTGTCTTAGCGCAGCGCAGCAGCCAGCAGCTCGCATTAGCGCAGCGTCCCGGCATTGCCCGCAATGGCCAAGATCCCTGCCCACTCGCCCTGCTTGCCTATATGCCAGTGCTGCGTGTGGGCAGCCTCCCTTCAGCCTGCGTCCGGGCACCAGTGGCTGAACTCAGCCCAATACAGTTGAGGCCCGGGGCAATGTAGTTGCGCCTCTTTCATCAAGGCCTGCGGCCAGATTCAGATAGTGGCCGATTTCCCTTTGGCATTTTCGGCCTCTCTATCCAGCATGCATTGTCGGGCTCACGTTCAAGTGCCCAGGGCCTAACTAACTCAGAGGCCCTGGGATTTCCACATTTGCAGAGATCCGAGACTCGGTGCACTCCAACCAACTGCCGCGCTGCAACTGTATGGACCCCACTTCGGGAAATGTTTGCATAGAGGGCTCTTGTTGATTAGCTGGCCCGCCTTCACTTAGGGCAGGCACGAGGCTTGCTGGGGCCTTAGCCCAGAACATGTACATCATGGCAAGGCCCCTAATTGAGGGCTCAATCCTCACATTCCATCCCCCTTAGCTTCGAAAGTCCGCTGAGCTGCTTACTTCGCAGGTGTTCCCTTTCAGTAGCCTCTCATATTTTGCCACCACCTGAGGAGTTGTCTCAATCAGTTCCTCCCTGGTAAACCACCGATCTTCTTTTGGATCCGTATGATGCCTGAATCTGACGCGGTACTCTCTCTTGGGTTTAGGASGTCTTCCTCGACCCAGCGGCTTCGGAACAGGCATATCCCTGTGATCCACAATGTCGTCGATGTCCACTTGTCCATCCATGGTTGGGGGCAGCATCGACCTCCTGGGAGGGAATTGATCTGTCTCAGCGAAAGGTGCAAGCTTTGAGGCATGAAAGACTGGGTGAGTGCGTAGGTGTCCAGGGACACGAATGACATATGTGGGACCATCCATCTCATCTCCCACTATATCCAGGACTTCCTAGGGACCAAAGTACTGAGGCATTAGTTTGCGAGAGATTTCGAACTCCTGTCCTAACTCACTAGCCTTGACCCAGACTCGTTCCCCTACCTGAAATGTGGACTGTCTACGATGTTGGTTCTCAAAAGCAATCATTGCTTGTTGAGCTTTCTTCATATGCTCGACAACCTCTTGCAGCAACTTCTCATACTGCACACCATACTCTAGTGTGCCTGGAGTTGCAGCGGGTCGGTTTTCAGGTAGGAGGAAGTCTAGTGCTGATCTAGGCTTCCATCCCAAGTGCAGCTGATTAGGACTAACGTCGGTACTACTATGGATAGCATTGTTGTACAGGCTGGCGATGAGAGGCAGCTCCTCATCCCAATCATCTTGGCTGGGCTTGATGTAATGCCTCAGTAAGTGCTGTACAACTCTGTTCATTTGTTCGGCTTGTCCGTTGGCTTCGGGATGATTCCCTGAAGTCATTTGAAGTTGACTGCCCATCTGTTCTGCAGTCTTCTTCCACAGCTCACTTGTGAATCGGACATCTCGGTCACTAACGATTGACTTTGGTAAACCAAAGTCACGCACCCAGTTGTCTTTAAACAACTTGATGACGTAGTCAATTCTTGCGGTCTCTGGCATAGCCACTATTCTAGCGTACTTGGTGAATCGGTCGATGATGACGAAGATGTCCCTCTTGCCACTCTTACTAGTCACCAGGGTGTCCATGAAATCCATGGAGACATTCTGTCCTGGACCAGCAGGGATAGGCAAAGGCTTCAACAACCCAAGCGGTGCTTGAGTTCGCGGCTTGTCCCGCTGACAGACCTGACATGTCTCTACGTACTTCTTTGCGTCATTTAACATTCCAGGCCACCAAAATCGCTGTACTTGGTTAGCACTCGTCTTCTTGTAGCCAAAGTGCCCGGTTGCATCATGACATTCGCCTAAAAACAAACTACGCAAA